CCTAATAAAGTGGCCGGTGAGTGTATATATATACTATCTTGCATGTCTTGGCCTCCTCTTGTTGAGGTAGTGGTTCGTATATATATTTCTTTAACCATATTTGACGTATTGAAACGACTAAATGACCAGTGAGGAAAAATAGATGGTCAAGGCAGATCTTATCAGTGTGTACCTTTGAGAAGCCCAAGCTGCACGCTGCCTCTCATGCTCTCTTCTATGAAGGTGGGCACATTGTCGTTCTTATCAATGACACATACTTCCACTGTGAAGCTTTGTCGATGAGCTGACGATCTGACGTTCTGAATGGCGCCTGCTGGTTTAAAGAACACCTGCAGTACAGATACCGTTACCCTGAACTTAGCTTGCTTTGTTCAAGTATGACTCGCAGTTACAAAACAATCTAACCAGAGATTTATATTTTTTATACAACAACAAACATCAGATAAATGTAATCTAATACAGATGTGTGACAAACTTGACTCAATACATAGATTAAACCAAATAATTAATATATCAAGAATTGGAAATCAGTTGAATACTGAATCCAGTGTGTAACCTGTAAAGAGTAAGATGGCTGTTTCTCTCTGTCCAGCGGTTTTATTGCATACAGAAACTGGGCATCTACTCCAAATATCCCCTCATCATCTCCAGTTAACACCAGGTCAGAGTAATTAGTTGGTAGGTTGGGAAGCTGTCCAAAAAAATAAGAATAAAACAAACAAACAAAAAAATATCAACAACAAAAAATAAAAAATGTGATGCTGCTAAATTAGAGGCATAATTCTGAGTAAGACAGCCCCATAGTATATGGAAACCAAAGCAAAACAGATCCTTGATCTCATATCTCAGAGGATGGATAACAGTATGAATCCTTGATGATGCTTTTAAACAGTATGTATGTTTTTTATTCTGCTTGGTTGTTTCTATATTTCACCATCTTTGCATATAAGGCATAACGGCTTTCTGTCTCTGAATACAGTCAGACCAGACTCTGTTGAGCTGCCTAAACAAGGCCTCTCTCAGCATTCTGCTGCTGCTGACGTTGGATGCAATAAGACAGTCAGTTTGAAACAAAGTCAGCTGGTAGACCTAAAAAAACATGTCCCTGGCCCTGAGCCAGAGGATCCAATTGGCTTAAGACAGCAGACAATCTTCCCATTAAGCTTGTTACTGGTGCCAACTGCAATCACCCCACATCATCTGCAAAAGAAGGGTTTTAGGAACAAAAATGTATTCAGTGCTCATCTCTTTCAACGACACAAAACTTGTTTGGAGTCTAAACAAGAGCATCAAACCACAGAGGAAAATTACATCCTCTGATAAGAAAAAAATGTAATCTTGACTGTCCTAATGGTTTCAAACATTACTGACATGACAAACAGATCCCACCTGAGATATTTTCAATAAGGCACAATGAAGGGGGTGCCATCATGATCTGGGGGCTTTGTCCTTCAATGGGACAATGGAACTAAAGGCTTTGAAGAGGCACAGAGTTGTGCAGCTGGCCATGTGGAGATGCACAGGGGGCGTCCCACATTAATGAAGCCCATCATCCTGGGTGGGTGCTGCTGACAGGATTTTTCACCAGGACACAATGGCCGGCTGACTTCTTCCAGAGAAATATTACCAATCCTTTGGACCATCTTGCATGTTCCCCTGATCTAAACATTTTGGCATGGGTGGAAAGGGAAGGCTATGAAAATCGACACATATATTGACATAAGATGCCTTCCTTTAAGACATCTGAACCACTTTGAGCATAATTCCCTCTTCCCTTCTGGAAACCCTAGCAGCAAGCACAGCGAAACAAATTGTGAGGTGATTACCAAGAATGGTTCAGCCACTTGAATCCTTTTTTGAAAAGACAGTATTTTGTTTTGCAATGTTTACATTAAACTATTCTTTTTTTTGTCTCATTCCCCCCTTTTTTCTCTTTTTGCAGCTTCAAGCTTGACTTAGAACAACAGTTCTAACAGTTCTTGCTATTTTTAAACTGGTCTTGACTTTTTGAGCAGCAGTATTTTAATGCCTTCACCCAGGCCATTCCAGCGTAGCTCTGGCTGTGTTCTTAGGGTCAGTGCTGGACTGGAACAGGAACATCCGCTCCAGTTTCCTGTCTTTTGCTTCTATTAGCATATTTTCATCCAAAATTGCTTTACATTTTGCCTTAAAATTTAACTTAAACATCTACCACCTTCTATATTTAGCTTAAGAAAAAAATTCTTCCACCTATTAAGGCTGTAGCCACCTTTTTTATGGTAGTGGAATAAAAATCCTTTTACATATACATGTGAAAGTTATTAATTTCCTTGTTGTAAGCAATGTATGTACTGTTAACATTTTGGAAGGGCCCACCCTTAGTCCCAACTCAAATCTGCTATAGATTCTGTGGAGGTAGTTAAGGATTAGGATGATGGCAAGTATTCATCCAGCTTCAGAGAGTTTATTACAAAATGTAAGCAAACACAGCTGGTCAGCAATTATTAAAAGGTTTTAATTACTGTAACTGCTTGACATGCGCTTACGGTAAATAATGAGAACGATATAAACAAACATTGCCTTCAGAAATATTATATATTTTACATTTTGTATGATACTTTTTGTTTACGTTAAATCCCTAAAAAACTGCACCAACATTTGTGCTGCCAAGAAAGATCAAGAAAAAATCGAGGAACATATGCATTTTTGCAAGGACTTGTACATATTTGTGAAATAATTCAAAACATGTGTCTCTATCCTGGTTAAGCCTGAGATGGACTGGAGACCTGTGCAGGATCTACTCAGCCTCATTTCTTGGACATGTTCCAGCCTCGTGCAACCCTGACCATGACAAAGCAAGTATGGAAACAGATAGAAGGTCAAAGCAAAAATAAATCAGCCCTGAAAGTGTTTATTCACAACACCCTCTATGATTTGTAAAGAAGGACATAAACAATATTTTACAATAAGGTTCGTTGGATGAATCATGGAAGACGTCTAAATAGGAGAACAGACGAGTGGGCTGCTCTGTGACGAATAGAGCTCCATGAAAAGGTTTTTTACCTTGAGCAAAAATCTGAAGCAATTATTTTGTCCAGTCCATTTATAACAGAAAGCAGGGCTATTATCCTCCAAAAAAAGCACAGAGCATGTCATGTTAATGACGGTCTGGCAAAAAAAAAGGGCTTGTTATATGGTTAGGTAGGATGTATTGACATCACTGTAAAGCCAGTCAATGAGCCATACACTCATGATGCTGTGCAATCCAGAGGACGTCTGAGTGACACGTATGAATAAAAACCCCACCTGCCACCCTGCTGGAATAAAAGCAGAGGCTGGGTCGGATGCCAGAAAAGCGCAGTGAACATGCCAATTATAGAAGAGTGATGACGCCAGCATGTTCGTATATCTTCAACCTTGAGTGCAGAAAAAAAGCGCTAAAAAATTAGAAGAGGCAGGTGATGTTTTGACTTACTATCTACCCTCATTTTCTGTTAGGCAATAGGGTTCTTTCTTTAAGCGGTCATTAAATTGATTGCATTACATTTTTGTTTTATTTTGCAACATAAGCAGTTTTTTTTTATTATAATTCATGTTCTTTTTTTATGTAATTCATATGGATTTCATCTTCATTTACAAGGGATGATTTTGAGGGGAAAAATGATAACGTCAGCTTTTATTGCCTGATCCTTTTGATCGGATTTAGAAGAAAAGTGAAGAATTCTAACTTCAGGTAAACTGTAGGGCCTTACCTTAGCTAGATACCATGGGAAAATGCCATCGTAGTTTTCAGGAACACCAATTTTAACATTTGCCCCTGAGCATGGTGCAAATGTGAAAAACGTTGACAGCTATGAAACAGAAGGATAGGTGTCAGCTAATAATTGCTGTTGTTTTTGACATATTTTGTTCCTAGAAAAAAAAAATAACACTCCAACTAAAAAGGCATATAAAAAACAAGGGGGAAACATTAACTTACAAAAAGTGCTGCAAGAAGCATGGGTTTGGCCTCCCTGTCAGTCATCTGTTCCTGTAAAGGTGCCGCATTCACCGTGTTTTAAACCTACCAATGATCAACAAAAAAAAAAAAAAAAACTGTCTTCATTGCTGATTAATCACTTACTTACTGGTATTTCTCTCAAAACCATGCACCAGAGAAAACAACACAGCATCAACCACCACAGTTTACAGAGACCAACAAAGATATGAGTTAGTTTGGAAGTACAACTTGAACAATAAAAACTAAAGCAATGCCAGTAAATGATTTAACACTGATTTTAAAGACCTAAAAATCACAGATGATAACATAAAGCAAAAAAAAAGGTTATACTTGTTACAAAAATATTTATGTAACATGCAAACATTTTAAGGACCATCTTACCTTCTGCGAATGATGCTTGCACGACCTTCCTCTAGGAAATGTGAGAGAACTTTGAATTGAGTGGAAAATTTGAACACTTGTACTCTTTTTGGTGGGTTAATGTTTAACACTGTGAAAAAAAAAACAGACTTAACTACCTTATTTCCTTCCTTTGAAGCAAAAAGTCCTGGTGGTTCCATTCCACTGATTGGATCAAATAAATATTCATGAGGAGATAACTCACCCACACAACATCTACTTCTTCTGGGTCTGATGGTGCGTATTATGTTACCATGGTAATAATGAGTAGAGAAAACACATTTTTAATCAAAATTTTATTTAGAAAAAAAAGAAACACGTTGTAAACGAGAAATTTTTAAACAATATCAAGGCTCACATAACCAACTTATTGCTTTACCCATACATTCACAACCTGAATTCAATCTCATGGAACAACACAGAATGAAAGAGATTTTGCCGAAGCTTTGAGTAGTCTTCAGTAACTTGGGCAAGGCACGAACCTGCGCACCGTCATTCAAGTAAATAATAGAACCTCACATAACCTTGATAATGATGAGATGTTTGTCATGTTTTACACTATGCCTTTATAGTATATACATCAATCCCCTCCTACAACAAAACACAACAACCCAAATAAAAGACAACCTTTGCACCTTTTTTTGAATCAACATATCAGATCTGTTTGACAAAAGAATCCTTATATGATGGCAAAATGTTTAAGGCAGGCTGTAAAGTAAAAGGTATGCACATTTTTTAACGTTATTACCAGTATCATATCCTTTTACAATACTATTCTCTTTTTTTTTCAATACATCCTGTTTAGCTTTTGGTTTGTGCGTTACTAAACAAAAATATATTCTCTATTAGTCCTTTAGGATTGGTGTTAAAACACACACAGGATCTGGTCTTCAGAGGCCAAAGGAAAAAAAGAGAAAATTAAAAAAGTCTTTCTGTCCTGTGTGTCGCTCAGAGAACTGTAAGGTCATGACATGACTTGGACTTCTGCCTGAAGGCCATCTTCTTGTTCTTGCGTGCGACCATGCGACCCAAAAAGCGTTTGGCCTTTTTGCTGATGCTTTCTCTGCGCCTGCAGTTAGCCATGCGTCGCTCGTTTTCCTCCTTGCTGTCTTTTCTCAAACGGATCTGTCTGACGATGCCCTCAAACAGGGCGTGCACGTTGTGGTGGAGGGATGCGGATGTCTCAATGAACTTGCAATCAAACACCACGGCGCAGGCTCTTCCTTCTATAATCCAAAAAACATGGAGAGAGAAGGAGTTAGAGGTGTACTGTTCCAAACCACTTTTTTTTTTTTCTCTGGTCCTTATGTTCAACCTATTGATTAATTGCACTTAACTCACCATCAACTGACACCTCTCTGGATCGCACCAGGTCACTTTTGTTGCCAACAAGGATTATGGGAATGTTCTCTGACTGTCTGGCTCGACGCAGCTGGATGCGAAGCTCTGAGGCCTTCTCAAAGCTTGACTTGTCAGTCACTGAGTACACAATGATGTAAGCGTCTCCCATCCTCATGCACTGCTCCTTTAGCCACTGACTGTTATCCTTTAGATGAGAAAACAGATGACATTAGACTCAGTCTTTACAAATAGACCATCAATGGGGGGGAAACAATGCATTAATAATTCATTACTCACTTGCTCCCAGATGTCATAGAGCAAAATTGAAGCCTCCTCGTCATCCACAACAAGAGATCTGTCGTAAGTGTTTCCTGGGGGTAAAAGGAATATTGGGTTACATTATGAGAGCAGAGAAACTGTAAAGAAATCTGTGAGCTGTTTTTTTTTTTTTAAGCTTTTTTTTCTTTAACTATTTTAGGCTAATATTTGCCAAGTGACAACAATAATATTTCTAAACTGTGTGTGAATTTTTATGTTTATTTTTTTTTAATCAAGATTTTTAATAATGACATTCATTACAAATGTATGTATTTAAAGTATTTTCTATTTGAAACGGTTTATGCATTACACTTATTTATGTTTTTATTCTCCAGCATTTTCTGTCACTCTCATCACTTTAAACGTATTAAAATAACCATATACAGTATAGGCTATAATACTCTTTATCAACGAGGATCTTAAGTGAATGTATGTATATGAAGGCAGGCTGATGACTCATCCTCAGCATCACCATTTACCTGCTTCATCACAGTCGTGACCGGCGTCCTCAAGCCCCCCAAAGACGCGCGCCAGGCTGGACTTTCCGACCCCGTGCTCCCCGAGGAGGACCACCTTGTACACCTGGGAATCTGTCTCACTGCCGGTGGAAATGACTGAGTCGGAGGAGTCCGAGGCGCAGCTGCCCCGGTGCTCCTCGCTGGGGGAGTAGGACGTACAGCGCAGAAGGTTGGAAAGCTCGTCGGTTTGTCCCATCTGAGGCGTCGTGGCGCGCAGGTCCCGGTCATCAACCGGCATGCTTCTCCTGTGCAGGTTGGGGAGGTTCATTGGGAACGGAACGCTTCCTCTCCTTTTGTCCATGTTCCGCAATTTGTCACTCTTGTTCAAAGTCATTGTGGGGATATAGGGGATCTGTGGGTAGATGTGCCATGCGTAAATATGGTTCCAACAGTTTTTTGTTAAATAACATTAATAACATTATTAAAGCATAAAGCAATAGATAAAAAACATAGTTTCACCAATTAGGCATTTAAGTATGTAATGAATATATATATATATATATATATGTATATATACACGCCATTTTAAACCGAGATGCATATAAAGTTTATATTTTTTTATATAATCATATATAAACTTACCCTTTTCTGATAAATAAATCCAACGAAAGTGATCCTGTAATCCTTGCTTTATGAATTAGTGGCAGTCAAAAAGGCGTTTTTGCTCTAGTCTGATCAGAGGCGCTGCTCAGGCTTTTTATAACGGACAAATAGTGACGTCGGCAGGGATTCGCCCCGGAGAGTCACGTCTCCGTTTATTATGGTGGTGCGTAACGGTACCATCACGCAGGAGGGGGTGTATGACTGGAAGGGCTGAGGAATCTCCCTTCCGCAGCTCCAAATGGAGCTGACAGTGGAGGGGGCGGCTATAGAGATGGTTTTTGGAGAGGGGAAACCCACTTTATGCGGGAAGCATAAAAATATTAAAACAAATATTTGTCAGTGTGGTTTTGAGATCCCCAAAATGCTGTACATCCAGAAGTAAACGAAATGCAAAACTGATTTTGAATTTTAATTTTCATGCAGAGTATAGGGGTGGAGTTCAGAGCCTGGTTGAGCGACATGATTATTTCTTTTCAAATATTGTGAGGTTTAACATGCATTATTGTTTGATGAGAAGGAGGTGATAATAAATTTGAATTTGTGGGTATGAAAAGTGTACAGTGAAAATCATGTGCATGTAAAATTCTCCACACGTACAGACCAATTGTCATTCATCTACATGCATCACCTGTTCCAAAAAAAGAAAGAAACGCTGCAGTCACATCTGCAGTTGCATTCACTTTCACATTTCTCTCCTGACTTTATAGGAATAAGGTTTCATTTTACTCATCCGTGACAGTGGTGAAAAGCCTTTATATTTAGGCTGCATGATCTGATGAGTAAAACGGTGATACACCTACATGTGGATCATATTCAGAAGATTCACAATTCTACCTGAAACATGGGGGTCATCTTAATCTCCACATGTATAATGTAGTATATTACTGCCATCTTGTGGCGGCCTATGTTGCATTCCACTTGGTCATTTCAGAATAAATAGAATAGAATAGAATACATTTTGATTGTCAGTAGAAAAAAAAGCCTAGAATTTCTTATTTCCACTTTCTAATCAATTGCAACATTATTCAATGTTGTCCTATACAAACTTATCATTAAAAATGTATACAAAAGCAACATGAATGATAATGTATAAAAGAAATTCATTTTATTTCATCTTGTTATTTATGTTTTTTTTTTTTTAAAGTCTTACCCACTCTACATCTTAAGACCTATTTTGTCCTGTCTCGCTACCAATGCTTCCATTTAACAGCTCAACTGTTAGTTTAGTTTAATATATGTCCGAAATACCCTAAAGTGCACGATGATTGAATGGCCAAGTGAAATTTCTTTAGAATGTGTAGGTGTTGACATATCACTCTCAAAAACTATGTCTATTATTATTGTGTGTGTATACAGAAAAAATGCAAAAAAGGATTTTTATGAACAACTTAAACTTCTCCTCAAACATTGTGACAAAACTAAAGAAATTATTTCAATGGGTGATTTTAACATTAATTGGATGGTTAAGAAGGAACGAACAACACTTAAACAAATAAAAGACAATGTTAATTTAACACAAATAATTAAAAATCCTATCAGAATAACAAACCACTACAAAACTCTAATAGATTTGCTATTTACAAACCATACTGAGAGGATCCTTAAAACATAGAACCTTATCACAGGGCTTTCTGATCATAATGTTGTACTTTTCTCCCGAAAATTAAGTAAAAAATGATTCACTTCATCTACATTTCATAGTCATTATAATTTTATCCCAAAACATGTACATCCAAACCCTGACATTCTGTTAAATGAAATAAACTGTTTTACATTATGTTCTAATAATAATATTGAAGCAAACTCCCAGATTTTTAACTCAAAAAAAGGAAACAGTAAAAAAAGGGAAACCATCTAGCCTGGCTGAGTAATGAATGTAAAAAACTTACGGTATGAAAGACAGAGACATTTCACTCAAAGTGTTTTTAAAATCTGGTCTCACCATTGACAGGCAAAGATTTACCTCCATGAGAAACAAAACAACTCTCGCCCTACGTAAAGCCAAGGCAATTTTTTTTCTGGACATCATTAAAAGTGCAAATGGAAATGGCAAAATCATATGGCAAAATATTAATAAACTGACTGGAAAACAAAATAAAATAGACATTGAAAAATTGGAAATAAAAGTTAATAATGAGCTGCTAAATAATCCAAAAGAATTAGCAAATGAATTTAATAATCTCTTCATTAACTCTGTCAATGAAATAACCCAAATGTTTTGTCATTCTGGGATAGCTCGCAAATGCATAGATCCTGTACAGCCAATTTTCAAATTAGAGCAAACTTCTGAGCTAGAAGTGGCCAACATTATTAACTCCCTGAAGCCCTCAAAGGCCAAAGATGCATATGGCCTTGACACATGCAAACCACCTGTGTTGGTGCAGTCTTTTTGGATATCAAGAAGGTGTTTGATACTGTAGACCATCAAGCACTTCTGTCCAAACTGACTCACTTCGCAGATGATGCCATTGCTTGGTTTAAATCTTACTTATCCGACAGAAAACAATCTGTTATTGTTGGTGGCACTATGTCGTCCTACCTTGAATGTCCAGCAGGGGTCCCACAAGGTTCTATTTCGGGACCAGTATTGTTCTCCCTATATATAAATGACCTTCCAGATGTTTGCCAAAATGTCCAATTCCAAATATATGCTGATGATGCTGTTATTTTTACATCTGCTAAAAGCACACAGGAAGCATAATCTGTCCTCACATCAGCCCTGGACAATATACAGCCCTGGGTCCTTCAATCATGTCTGTTACTGAACAAAAAGAAAACTGTTTCTAGATGTTCACAAAAAAACCCATAAAACTTGAGCGGTCCAATGTGTTCCTGGGGGGAGTGGAACTTGAGCTTGTAGAAGAGTTCAAGTACCTCGGGGTCACACTGGACTGAACACTTTCATTTAAAAAACACATCAAAATCACTGCAAACACAATTAAATTTAATATACGTAACTTTAAGCAAATCAGATCATCAATGACAATCAGTTCTGCTAAAATGTTCCTACACTCAATGATATTTTCACACATAGACTACTGCATCACAACCTACTCACTCACTGGAGACACAACTTTAAAACCAATAGAAATATTGTTCAAAAAAATCTTTAAAAATCTTCGATCAAAAGCCCCTGTCATTCCATCAGTTTAATATTTTGGAAAAAAATAATATGCTCAATTTTGAAAATTTTATTAATTTTAAAAATAGTTGTTTAATTTACAAAGGTCACTTTCTGCCTACATTAGACCTAGCGGATGTATATGCTCCAGAGCCTCTTCCAGAGGAGACCTAGAGATCCCCCACAGAAGAACAACCTTTGAACAAACCGTTCTATCAGTCAGAGGGGTCACTTCTGGAACAGCCTCCCGGCAAACATCAGGGAAGGTCCCACTTATTGCACATTTAAAAAGCACCTTAAACAGTTTCTTAAAAGTTCCCAGTCATGCACTCACTATTTTTTTTTGTTGTAATGTCATTGTCTGAACGTGTGTCTAGGTGTTTTGACTGATATTGTATTATGTGATCTTGTGTTGTTTTGTCTTCCTGCCTCAGGACCACAGATGTAAATTAGCAACTATGCTATACACTCACCGGTCACTTTATTAGGTACCCCATGCTAGTAACGGGTTGGACCCCCGTTTGCCTTCAAAACTGCCTCAATTCTTCGTGGCATAGGTTCAACAAGTTGCTGGAAGCATTCCTCAGGGAGTTTGGTCCATATTGACATGATGGTATCACACAGTTGCCGCAGATTTCATCCATGATGCGAATCTCCCGTTCCATCACATCCCAAAGATGCTCTATTGGATTGAGATCTGGTGACTGTGGAGGCCATTTGAGTACAGTGAACTCATTGTCATGTTCAAGAAACCAGTCTG